ACACACACACACACACACACACACACACACACACACACACACACACACACACACACACAGCTGCAAGTAGAGAGATGACTAAAGTGGAGCACTAGCCTTATGTATAAGAGCTCAAGGACAGCCCCTAGGGCCTGAGTTCAAGCCCTGGGACCAACACCACACACACACACACACACACGCACGCACACACAATGGAAGTGCAGGTGTGCCTCAGTACACCACACACACACACACACACACACACACACACACACGCACACACGCACACACAATGGAAGTGCAGGTGTGCCTCAGTGGTAATTAACCTGGAGCACAAAAGCTCAGAGACATCCAGGCTCTGAGTTCAAGCCTCACAATCAGCCAAATAAAAAGAAAAAGAAAGAAAGAGAAAGAGAGAGAGAGAGTTCAATATGAGAGACTCCGGGAGAAAATTCCCCTTTATCTAAAATATATATACAATTCATCAATTTTAAAGGATGAGCTGAACTTACCTAATCATCAAAGACCCTCACAGTACAGCTCAGGATTTTATTAAAATCAGACTAATATTATTTCTGAATTATCAAGTATTTCTATAATGGAAAAATAAGAGCAAGAGCCAAAATTTGTGTGATTCAATAAAGTGTTAAGGAATGGAGGATTTTAAAACATTTTCTTTCTGAAATTGTTTCAGAAAAAAAATAAGTATATGTAATCAAGAAAGTTCTGACTTGAATACTGACTGAGTAAGAAGCTAATTGACTTGGAAAGGCAGGACCTAGAAGATACCTGGGTATTTTGGCCTTATTGCCCTCATTCTGCCACTCCGTCGTCTACGTTTTCGCACCTCCAGAGACAGGAGCTTCCTCTCATAAAGAGCAGCATGCAGCGTGGCCTTTGAATTCATGCTCTCTACCTTCAGTTCTGGTGTTCCATCAGTAATCGTTCTAAGGGAAAAACAGCAGTTACAGCCTTTCAAAAATCTTTATTCCAAGGCTAAGCTTCATAGAATCTGGAGGGATAATAGTAGACTGGAGAACTCTAAAGGGGTTGAAAGATAAAGGAAAACCTCTTATTTCCATATCTTGGAGTTCATTTCACTTAGCATCATCTTATATATGATCATATGTGATCCTCTTCTCGGACTATCCTAGACATATTTTTCTTTGTTGTTGTCATTTTTAATTACTATATGAAGTTATTTCTTTTTTCCTCCTATGGTTTATCCCTTGTTACTGTATTTGATTTTGGTACCCTGTGTATTGTATATAGATTTATCTGAATTAGGGAAAGGAAGGGGAACAACAAAATGGTGAGACAGAGGACAAAGGGTGAACCAATGCAACAGAGATACACACAACTTGGGGGGGGGCATTAAGGGGGAAGAAAAGTGGGAGAAAATGAGGGAGGACTTAACAATACCCTACGTATGTAACTGTAAACCCTCTTTACATCACCTTGATAATGAAATTAATTTTTTCAGTATAAAGCAAAATACTAGACTTTCTATTAAAACTACACTAACAGCCTATCTAAGTTTATTAAGTTCTGAGCGAACACACACATACACACAATGCCTAAGTACCCTTAAGTATTCAGTAATACTGGCTCTTAATTTACTGCAGAGATGGTAAAGCTCTATCCAATACCTTATGTGGGGGAAATAACAATAACATCATCATTGTTTAGTGTGGACAAAGGTCTTGGTTAGTGCTATTTTAAGCTTTATTTTTAGTCTTATCAAACATATCAGAAAGCATTTCAACAGTGGATCTTACAGTTTATAGTAAAACTGAACTAACTGCTTACAGAAAGTTTTCTGCAAAAACGTATGCAATACAGCCCATTAAAATACAGTTTTCATGTGTGTGTGTGTGCATACGTGTATGGGGTGTGTGTGTATGTGTGTGTGTGTATGTGTATGTGTTTTTCAGTCCTGGGCCTGGGCCTGAGTTTTGTTTTGTTTTATTTTGTTTTTTTTTTAATCAAGGCTAGCATTCTACTATTTGAGCAACAGACTCACTTCTGGCTTCTTTGGTGCTTAATTGCAGATAAGTATCTCATGGACTTTGCTGCCTGGGCTGGCTTCAAACCACAATCCTCAGATCTCAGCCTCCTGAGAGACTAGTATTAAAGGTGTGTGCCACCAACTCCCAGTGAGTGTTCATATTGTATACAAGAAAGTGGGAATCAGAAGTCTTTTGCTATTCAGCAAGAAAGATGTTTGAAAGACTTGAATGGATATCTGAAATAAAGGGATTTGAGAAAAGAACATCTTGGTACCTGTTTTATTGGTATTAATTATAACTTAGTTCATAGTATACTTTTAAATGTGTATAATATTTAATAAATACAGAGCTGATAGAGATTGAAATGGGAAGAAAAGCTGATGATACATGAATAAGTAAGCAGGATGGAGGTGACTGAGGGGAAGTGTGTCTGAAACATTCACATTTCTCACTATAAAGACCTGCCAAAGTTCTCTCTATCCTTTAGTCTGGTGAGCTTCAGACAAAGATAGAAAAGGTGGCCAAAGCACTCCAGGTGTTTGAGTATAGGACAGAGTATAGGTCAAAGATATTAAGAGTCAGAGGCACGGACAAGGGAAAGTAAGCAGATAGAGGACTAGGCCCTGAATGGGAAATGAGATGGAGAGAAGGGCCAAGTAGCACCTGCAAATTAGAGAAGTGACAAATATCAGGCCCAGACTATACACAGTTTGGGCAAAGTAAAGAGCATAGATAACCAGACCATGAAAGAAAATGCTTTGAGTCATTGGTCATAAAAGCATCCAGATTAGTATCTGAGAGCATGTACCTAACTTTGCATACTAAGAGCTCAAGACCAGATGACAATCTGAACTCTCTCTGGAATTCCTAGAACTCAAAATATATTCCCTTTATAGTCAAGGAATCCCTCATCTCCTCTGGAAGTTATCAGTTTCTAAGCGTGACACAAGTGCTGTGCTGTTCTATCTATTCAGGACTTTTGGATAGGGATTTGAATGAGTGGCATGGACAGTGAGTCCTTTAGAGGCTTTCTCTTCAAGACAGATCATTGGGCAAGAACAAGGAAGTGAGCTTCTGACTAGCAAGCAGAAATGGGGAGCCAAACCAATCAATTTTTTTATAAATGAGGTATCACTATGATGCCTAGGCTGTAATGAACCAATGTCCTTTATATAAACAAGAATATCCCCACTTATATTGTCAAGAACATAATTCTGTGGGGTGGGGAGGCATTCTTTCAGGACAATGAGAACTCAATAAAAAGCTTCTAAAACTGTGAGCCCTAAAAGCTCACAGATTTAGAGAAGCTACCAAGAATTTCCATCTCTATATTTGTAAATAACAACTCCAAATAAGAGAAAAGCGTATCCTCACTGGTAAAACAAATGAGGGTGTGGAATGCTGCTACGTACAAATAATGCAAGGACTATGCTTTTCTTGTTCATCACTATACTTGTGATGCTTATGAGAAGGCCTAGCACAGAGCTGACCTGTCATACATACTGACCAATAACTCGATTCTCAGACTGGAGGAGTAGTTCAAGTTGCAGAATACTTGCTTTGCCTAGTAAGTACAAAGCCTTAAGTTCAAACCCTAGTACTACCAAAAAATTAATAATTATAAATAAGTTACAGTACATTTAGCTATGTCTATTTTACTTTTTATATTTTATTATGAAAATATCCAAATGAAAGTTTAAAGAATTACACATGAACACCCACATAACCATCCATCATCTAGTTTCTACAATCAATATTTCACTACATTTGTTTCATTTCACACATACACACACACTTATAAATTCTTCTATGCACTCATCAACATGTTCAATTTTTAAAGTATTCCCACATTGCAGATAGGGGATTTTGCTCCTGAATAGTTATCTATGCATCATTACAATTTGGAATCCAGCAATTGTTTTATAGGGGTTGGTAAGCTAAAACTTCATATAATAAGATGATCTAATACTAACTGTTCACTTAATGAGTTTTAACAAACACCTACAACTAATTATATAATTCAAACTGATATTACTGTCATCTCAGAACATGTTCTTGGCACTTCCCAGAGCACCCCTCCCTCAAACCTTGAAGAGTAATCACTGCTGTGAATTTGTCACCACATTTTGCCCCCTTTCAAATTTCAAACAGAGCAGGACGATGTGAACTCTTTGTGTATAGCTTGTGTGTATGTATCAGCACTGTCTAAATGATTCACAACTTATATGCTTCCTTGTTGGACACCTAGGTTGTTTCTTGTTTCAGAATATTATCAATAAAGCTGCTACTATAAATCTATTAATACAAATCATGTTGTGATTATACTTTTCACATGTGTGTGTGTGTGTAAGAGAGAGAGAGTGTGTGTGTGTGTATAGGGGTGGATTTGAGTTCAGGGTCTGGTGCTGAACTTGGACTCTATTGCGGAGCCAAACCTCCAGCCCTGTTCTGTACTGGTTATTTTTGAGATAAAATCTTACTTTATGCCTGCTGTTTTTATTTTTCACTTCCTGCTGTGGCTGGGATGACAAGCATGTACCACCAGACCCAGCTTCTTTTGTTGGAATGGAATCTCATGACTTTTCTACCCAGGTTGGCCTGCAACTATGGTTCTTCAGACCCACACAACTAGAATGACAGGCATGGGCCAATGCACCCAGCTATTGGTTGAAAGGAGATCTTATTTATGCCTGGGCTGGTTTGGAATCTCTATCTTCCCTAATTCAGCCTCTCAAGTAGCTAGATTACAGGCATAAACAATGGATGCTCAGCTATATTTTATCACTTCATCCAGGGAAAGATCTCACAGTGGAATTTGCCACTATGAGACAGTTAGCTAGAATGTGATCCTTCTATGCATGCTTCCCATGTAGCTGGGATGACAGACACATACCACCACACTTAGGTTTTATGGATTGAGATGAGGTCTCTTGAACCTTTTGCCCAAGCTGGCAACCAATCAAAGCTTCTTCCTATAACCTGTATTACATCATTAAAAACCTGTGGGGAATAGTAACCTTTTCTGTCAGACCAATGTCTTCAATTTGTAACCAGTTACCATTCTGTACCAGTATTTCTTTATACTGGTATTTCCTGGAATTATTTCCTTCTTGACTTCAATTGTAACTATCATCTGTGTGGTTTGTAACCAGCCAGACAAATCAAGGGTATGAATCCTTACCAACTGAGTTAAAGAACAGACCCCCATCCCTTTAAGTGAGACCTTTCCATTGATTTTACCAATCTTCTCCAACTGTTGTCATCAGCAGCCCATCCCCAGCCTGTAAAGAATGTGTGCCTTTGCCTCCAAAGGACAGTTTCCCCCCATAGGGGCCTTTCACTGACTGTTAGAGTGCTGTCTAACTTCCATTACCCTGGTAACCAACTGTAAAGAGAATATGAGCCTGATTCTAAGCTTGGCAACAGAAGGGACATCACTCCTTTGGTTAAGTTAGGTATTTGGTGTACCTGTCTAACTCTAGTTAGGTATTTGGTGTACCTGTCTAACTCTAAGGAGAATGATAGCAGCACAGCCCTCTGCACAGAAGTAAAATGCCTTGATGAAATCCCTTGTGTATCTATTCATTTTCTCCAACAAACCTGAGAGTGGCACTGTACTTCTGAAGATATTTGAGTACGACTGGTATTATTACTGTTTATGTGCTTGACACAATTAATCACCAAAACCAATGAGTCTGGAGTTTGCTTTGTAGGAAGATTGTGGATCACAAGTTCTATTTTCTTAGTAGCTACAGTGTTCTTCAAAATTTCTAGGTCAGCTTTTTTCAACTTACATAAATGTTTCAATGAGGAGTTTGTTTCACCCAAGTTGTCAGAGTATTAATTAATGATATTCCTCTAATATCCTCCCTACTCCAATTAACCTCCATTGCATGTCTGTAGGATCTACAATAATAACCTCTCTCCTCTACTTGATACAGTACTTAAGTGTTTTCCCTCTCTTGTTTTCTAGATGCAGTTTACCTAAAGGTTTATCAATTCTGGTTGCGACTATGAAAAGGAAACCTGTTGAGGACGGTATTGGGGGTAGGAGCAAGGAATAGTAATAGAAAGGTAAAACTGATTGGAATACAGTGTAACTGCATGAAGATGCAATGATTAAATCCTTCCCTGAATAACTAACATAAGCCAATTTTTTTCAAAGTAAAAAATAAAAAGGTTACCAGGCACCAGTGGCTCACACCTATAATCCTAACTACTCAGGAGGCGAGATCTAAGGATCACAGTTCAAAGCCAGCCTGAGCAGGAAAGTCCATGAGAGACTTATCTCCAATTAACCATCAGAAAAATGGAAGTGGCACTATGCCTGTAAGTGGTAGAGCGCTAGCCTCGAGCAAAAGAGCTCAGGTACAGTGGACAGGCCTTAAGTTCAAGCCCCATGAATGAAAATAAATAAATACATCTAATAAAAATAAAAAAGTAATCATAATGGCTTCCTTCTTTAAGAAAAAGCTAAATTCACTCTTCAAAGGGCTTAGATGAGAAACCAAGTTTATCTTCATTAACAAATGCAAAACAAGCTAGCTACATATTTCATTCTGCATGTTATTGCTTTATAAAGCGACACAAGGAGGATAAATGTTGTATCTCAAACTCTATTAACCTTGGGCAGGGAAGGTGGCTCAGTGGTACAGCACTTGCCTTGCATGCATGAGGCCCTGGGTTCGATTCCTCAGCACCACATAAGCAAAAAGAAAAAAGCCGGAAGGCCCAGAGTTCAGGCCCCACATCAGGACCCCCAAAAAAAAAACCCCAAAAAACTCTATTAACCTGAAGATATGGATTTAGGTTGAAGAGTTTCTATTGTAGCTGCAGTCTTCGTTGAAGCAAAGTCATCTCAGTCTTTACTTCTGTAAGACCTTTCTCTTCTCTGACTAAACACAAAGTCATAGGCCATTTTACACATTTCCCATTCTGTGGCAAACTGGAAACACATCTGGTTAGTACCATAGGGCAGAACTATATGTCCTAAGTATGTCAAGGTCAAAACATATGCTCTTGTTTGAATCATCCATGGCAATAGTCTTAAAGTTCACTAATACTCTGACGTCTCACATAGCCAACAGCTGAAATTATATACACACACATACACACACACACACACACACACACACAATTTCAAAGTTATTTACAAAAAGCCATAGAATACTTTTTCAATAGGAGACATTTCAATGCTACTCTTTATGCTGAGCCAAACTGAAACTGGTTCTTTATAGCACTATACTCAGTCTGTGCATGGTCATACCTCATGCACATGCAAAGAATTTCTCTAATTATAAAAGTCAGTTACCGTGTTCTTCCAGCCAATAAGCTTCTTCTTGGGTTTCCCCTATAAAAGTAGAAAGGACACCTGGGTTAGAGACCACTGTTTAGATATTCACTCTGGAGTTCACACACACAGGACACTGCAGTCTTGACAGCCTTATTATGGAAGTTAAACATAAAATTGGGCCACAAGGGGCTTTTTGAGGAGAAGCAGATCAACTGAGAACATTCTTAAAGAAGAGTAGAATACTATGACCTAGAGAAAGGATCAATTCACATACAAGGAAAAGGGCAAAGAAATTCTAGAGAAAAGTATTTACAATGCCTTGCTTTTCTCAATCTACTTACAAAACAAACCACACTCGCTCATCAGAACAGTCACATGGAAAAGATTGTTATTAGCCCCATTTATATAAAGCAGAAGGATGCTTCAACATCCTGCCCATAGCAGGGTTTGAGCAGTTTACATTCCAGCACAAGAGTTTAGATCTCACTTGCTATGCTCTTTATATTCTCATTGAGCTATTTTAGGAAACAAAACCCATGATTCCCATGAGATTGAAAGAAGCTATTCATAAGGAATAGACTTTATACAAGCAAAAATAAAAAAAAGAATAGGAGTGGGGGAAGAAGAGATAATCTCCTTCCTTTGTCTCTACACTAAGGTTGGACTCTAACCATAAGAACTAAGTCCCATTCATGTTTAAAGTGGCTTTTGTTTTTCTTGGAAAACATTCTTTTCTCATTCAATTTCTCTTTGCTTAACTCTTTTGGAGGAATAGAGGAGTATTCCCCAACTTTATTTGAATTCATTTATACATATGTATATATGTAGTTTAGCAAAATGTTCCCACCTTTTTAGGTTCAGGTATCCAGCACCACAGAGGAGATACTGGACAATGACATCACCCACTCCTCCCACAAGGACCTTTAGTAACTACTTACACTGTTTGCCTCATCCATATCTCCTTAACCTGTTTATTCTAAAATTTTGTCTCGGTTTGTAGCCTCAAATCCATGATCCTCCTGCCTCAGTCTTTGAAGTCCTAGAATTGCAGGCAGGTGTTACCACACCAATTACAAGTTATTACAGCTGCAAAGTTTTTTATGTTTTGTTTTTGTTTGGTTTTTTGGTCAGTTGTGGGGCTTGACCTTTGGGCCTGGGCACTATCCCTCAGCTCTTCAGCTCAAGACGAGCACTCTACCACTTGAGCCACAGCTGCACTTCTGGTTTTCTGAGTAGTTTATTGGAGATAAGAGTCTCACAGAGTTTCCTGCCTGGACTGGCTGGCTTTCAACTGCAATCCTCAGATCTCAGCCTCCTGAGTAGCTAAGATTACAGGCGTGAGCCACTGACTCCCAGTTTTACAAAGTTTTTTATTGCTATACTACTATTAAAGAAATGCTTCCTAACGTGGGTGAGTACACTGGTTCCTAGCTTGTCTATTGTATTCCCCCTCTCCTTTCCGGGAAACACAAGTAGCATGGAAAGATCAGGTGTCAAGTATGGAGTATATGTCAGTCTAGAAATAATTCTATGCAGCCTATGAAAGAACCCATGCAAACACATACCTCTTTCTTAAAATTATACCTATTAAATATGAAAACTAATCAAAAAGCAAAAACAGTTACTAGATATTAACATCAACTTGCCCAAATCAAATGTAAACTGAATAAGTCTCTTGTGATAATATTGAATGAAAAAGACAAAGCTCAAGACTGATTTAGAATTTAAGATGTTTAAGAAATCTCCAAGATTACAAAATTAAGACATGTGATGGAAGCAGGGAAAAGTACAGAAGTGGGAAGGATATGGACAGCAGACTGTGTATAATAAAAGATCCACAGAGAGATAAGATAGAAAAAAAAAAGAATATTTTCCAGAAGTGAAAAGCTGTACTCTTTAGACTTACTACAAAACTAAAATACTGAAAACTGACAAAGCAGACAACTTCTTCAGATAAAGAAACTTCAGATAAAGAAATCTGTGACTAAGCCGGGGGGGGGTGCCAGTGGCTCACTCCTGTAAGCCTAGCTACTCAGGAGGCTGAGATCTGAGGATCACAGTTCAAAGCCAGCCAGGGCAGGAAAGTCCATGAGCTTCTCTCTTATCTACAATAAGCCACTCAGAAAACTGGAAGTGGCGCTAGCCACTGGAAGTAGAGTGCTAGCCTTGAGCTGAAGAGCTCAGGGATAGCACCCATGCCCAGAGTTCAAGCCATACAACCAACATATAAATCAATCAATCAATCAATCAATCTACGGCTGTATTTCCCAAGTAGATTCGAAGATCTTTCATCAAAAGCTACTCATCTAATAATAAAAGTATTTACCACAAATGCACAGAGGTAAAGTAAAAATGTGTATTTCCTATAATCGAAAATGAAATAGCTGAAATCTATTTTAAGAATCCTTTAAAAAATTCTCAAAATAATATAAATCTCTCTAAATAAATTGGGACACTTGTTCTGATGACTAATTACTAAATTCTTCTTCAATGTAAGGCTATAAACATATGCAGGACTAAGTAGTCAATCTCTGTGTTCCTTCAAATGCAGTGTCTGTTTTCCATCATTCATCTGTTTCCCCTTGTAGTGAGAAAATCAACTATAAGTCTTACAAGTCTCGGTGTGATTTTGGGGGGATTTACTTTTTTTGATTACACTTTTGGGGATTACACTTTTTTTTTTTTTTTGGTTGGCCATGGGTCTTGAACTCTGGGCCTGGGCACCGTCCCTCAGCTCTTCAGCTCAAGGTTAGCGCTCTACCACTTGAACTACGGCGCCATTTCCAGTTTTCTGATGGTTTATTGGCAATAACAGTTTCATGGATTTTCCTGCCTGGGCTGGCTTTGAACCTCGATCCTCAGGTCTCTGCCTCCTGAGTAGCTAGGATTACAGGCGTGAGCCACCGGCGCCCGGTTTTCACTTTTTTTGATCTGATAATTCTACTCTCTTCTACAAAAACATATAACCATGTTCAAAATGTGTCCTAGACAAACGGTTACTGAGTGAGAATCTTCTGAGACGAAAGATAAAGTCTAGGGCACCTATTCAAAGATCTTTATGGTTTACTTTTTAGTTTTTCAAAATGTTTCAAGTTGTTGAGAATTATTAACAAATTCTACAAAGAAATGACATTTTTTTCCTAAAAAATCTTTTCTATCACTTTTTTAAGGTTTTTTCAAAATTTATTTCCTTCTATCACTTATGCTTTCTCCTAATTTTAATGATTTCAGCTTGAACTCGCAAATTGAGCAAATCCCCACCTGTCCTGGAAGAGCCGTGTTGCTAGCATATAATTCATAGAGGTTTTGTGTTCGAGGTAGGACCTGAAGGATAAAGAAAGAAATCAGTTATTCCTTTAAAGAAAAACATAATTGCTGGGGGGTACAGAAAGGTAGGGAAAAGGGTAAACAAATGCAATCATGGTATTCAGTATACACTATGCGAAAAATAAACTGTGCAACTTGTAGGCAGGGATGGATGGGAGGGGAAAACAGGGGGAAACAAATGAAGAGTGACATTGTCCAAAAAAGAAGTATACTCATTACCTGACTTATGAAATGGTAACCCCTTTGTACAACACTTTAATAATACCAATAAAATTATGTTTTAAAAAAACAACAGAAAACAAAAACAATTGCCTATATTTTTATTCAACAGTATTAAGGTTTGAACTTGGAGCCTCATACAAGCAAGGCAGGTACCACTGAGCCATACATTCAGCCCTCAAACATTCTTTAAGCTTGGTTCAAGAGGAAAATACACAGTATGTATGCACAGAAATTATTATATCTAAAGTCACAGAAGTGACTATATCTGCTATGTCTAAAGAAGCTATTGTTAAAGTATCAAAAGGGGACAGTTACTCAAATTAAAATTATAAAATACTAGAGTAGCAGCAAATGGAATCTAATGAGAAGATTAAAAAAAGAACTTAATTTAGAAAATTAAAAAGGCAACTTTTTTAGGGTTAATAAAAGGTGATATATACTAAATTCAGGAAATAAAACTATTGAAAGATAAAAAGGAAACTACCATATAAATTACATAAATAAAAGAACTCATATGGGGCTAGCATGGAAGCTGCATAAAGGGTATGAAAATTAGACAAGAAAGTGAACTGGGCTCTTCCCCAGCTCGAGAGCTCTCAGTGGCTCCCAGATGACTACTGCATGAAGCATACACCTTATCTTCCAAACTTCCACGAGGTGGGTAATCTGTACCACACAGTTTTCCAACACTGATCCTGCAGTAGAGCCAGACAAGTCTCCTCAAGTCCTCTTACTCCAACCTCCCCATGGATTCTTTGTTTCTTACTGGACATCTTTCCCCAGTAAACATGACAGCTCAAATCCACCCTGCTACACGAAACCTCCTGTTAGGCTGCTCCAAGTCTGCAGAATTTTCCTTATCTGAATGAACTTCCCTGGTATTCCCGATACACAAGAGACCTGTCATACACTGTCTCACAGGGTATTTCTTCTAGGAAAGCTGCATTATGCAATCCAGACCAAAAAAGAAACCCATGAAACACACCCAAGAACATTTATAGTACAGCTGTCCTTAACAGCAGAAGACCAGAAAGAAGCAAAATGTCCAACAGGAAAATGGAAAAAAATCAATAGCAAGATACACAGTAAAATACAATAAAACACTGAAAAGAAATGAGACGTAGCTCTACCCAACAACATGAACCACAGTAACATAATACTAAAGCAAGACTGCATAAAATGCATGCTTTTTGTTTAGAAAAATTTCAAAAGCAATTAAAACTGACTGAACAAGAGAATTCTGCTTTTACATACAAGAAGCTGCGGCAGGCCATTCCTTCTGCAGCTACAAAAGTACACAAGATATAAAAAACAAACAACTGTTTTTGAACATGAAACAAAAGGCAGGTCAGGACTGTGAGCTCTGAAAGAGAAATACATGCAGTAAGATCTAACCAGTTCTGCCTTTCTGTCAATGGGCAATTTCCAGACCATGCAAGAAAAAGGGGAATTCAAGTAGAGCCCACCAGTCCCCAGGATAAGAGGAGAGAAATCAAAATTCTAAGGAGAAGCTAGAATCTTCAAAATAATGTATTATCCAAGAAATATTGTACTCATTACCTGACTTATGGAACTGTGACCTCTTCATACAACTTCTTAACAATAACAAAAAAAGTTTTCCAAATCTTATGAAAGCTAAATGTTCACAGAGTTATAGAAACTCAATGAAGCTCCAGAAGAAGCATTTAGAAAGTAACCAAGGTGCATCAAAATCATCTCTTGATGATTATGCCGACACTCAGTCATCAAGAGACCATCTTAAAAAGTAAGCTGAAGAAAAGCAGAATGGCTATATATTTCTCCTGCAAAACACAAACAAACAAAAGAAAACTCATTGGAAAAAAAGATGGGCATTGTTCAAGTAGTGAGAAAGTGTCAACTCAGAATTCTATGGCTACTCAAGAAATTCTTTTTGTTGTTGTTGTTGGCTTGAACTCTGGGCTTGGGTGCTATCCCTGTGCTCTTCAGCTCAAGGTGAGCACTCTACCACTTGAGCCACAGCGCCACTTCTGGTTTTCTGGTGGTTTATTGGAGATAAGAGTCTCATGGACTTTCTTGCCTGGGCTGGCTTTGAACTGTGATCCTCAGATCTCAGCCTCCTGAGTAGCTAGGATTACAGGCATGCGCCACCAGCACCTGGCTAAGAAATTCTTTGAAACGTGAAAGCAAGACTTATAGAGAAACATAGGTTGAGAGAATTTGTTATCATTAGATCTGAATTACAACAAATCCTAAAAGAAGTTCTTCAAATGGAAGAAAACCTAACCATTGAAAATGGTAAGATGTATGTAATTAAATTTTTTCTATTTAAATTTCCTTAAATGATGACTATTAAAGAAAATACAACAACGCACTATAGCACTTCATAGAAGCATTAGATGATAATAACACAAAAGACAAGAAGAGAAAATGGGAAGTATATTGATTGTAAAGTTCCCATATAAAACAAATAATATTATTTGAAGGTAGTATTATAATAAATAAAAGATATATATTGTCTCCCTTCAGCAGTAACATGAGACAAGTAAAATGAAGAGTCATAAAAAATTAATCAATCCAAAGAAGTCAAGAGAAAATGAAAAAGATAATCAAAGCACAACAGATAGAAAAGGAAATAATAAGCTACGAGGTACTGGCTCACATCTATAACCCTAGCCACTCTAAAGGCTGAGATCTAGAGGATCATACAAAGAGGCCAGCCTGAGCAAAAAAATCCCTGAGACTCCGTCTCCAAATTAACCAGTAAAAAGCTGGGCTAGAGGCCTGGCTCAAATAGTATAGCACCAGCCAAGCAAGTAAATAAGTTAAACTAAGCCATTTCAAGGTCCTGGGTTCAAACTTCACTACCTCCTTCAAAAGAAAACAATTAACAATAAACTGTAAAACCTAGTAGCAATGAGTCAATTCCTAGAAATATACAATTTACCAAGACTGAGTTACAAAGAAATAGAACAACAGAATAGATCAATAAGTAAGTACATTTAATCAGCAATGAAACCTCTCAACAGAAGCTGTTGATCAATAAAGAGTTGTGGCATGTGGAAAGGGAAAGTAGGGGAAGGTAATTCTTAGCAAAATAAAATGTGTGCATGTCTGAAATATTGTGGTGAAATTTTGTCGTCATTAATACAAGCTAAAATAAAGGGGGGAAGAAAAGTAAGGTAGGCTCTGTTGGGGGTGAATGCCAGTGGGAAGTAGAGGGCTGATAAGGAGGGTGAATGAGAATAAACATGGTTGAAATGATTTGTTTACGTATATAAAAAGAGAATAGTAAAACCTGCTGAGGTGGTTTTGAGAGAGGGGAATAGGATAAGGGAGAGTGTTAGAATGAGTAAAGTTAATGGGGGATACATTATATACATGTGTGGAAATGCCACAATGAAACTCCTCTTCTACAACCAAGGTGTGCTCATTGAAAAAGTATTTTAAAAAAAAGTTCACACTTGCATTCCTAGCTACTCAAAAGACTGAGATCTGAGGATCCTGGTCAAAGCCAGCCCAAGTAGGAAAGTCTGTGAGACTCCTATCTCCAATTAACCACCAAAAAGTCAGAAGGTAGCTGTGACTCAAATGGTAGAGCACTAGTTTCAAGTGAAAAAAGAAAAACTCCAAAAGCTCAGGGACTGCACCCAGACCCTGAGTTCAAGCCTTAGGACCAGCACAAAACAAATTAACTAACTAACTAAATAAGTTCCTAGTGAAAATGAAGAGGACCAAAAAGAAGAGGAAGAGGAGGAAAAAGAAGAAAGTGTTGCTGCCTAGGATTAGATGTCTTCAATGCTAAATTATGTCAAATATTTTAAAAATTAAAACCAGTTCTTCTCAAACTATTTTTTAAACCAGACATTAAGAAAACACTTCCAAATTCATTAAGAATAGCATTATTCTGATATGAACACTAAAACTTCAGTGAATATAGATGAACAAATACAAAAATCCTCAGTAAAATATTAGCAAAAAAAGTTAAAAAGGACATTAAAAGACCCACTATAAAAAAGTAGGAATTATACCAAGATGTAAAGATGGTTCCCAATATGCAAATGAGCAGTTGTGCTATTAACAAATGAAAGACAAAAATCTGCAAACAGCCAATAATTGCAGAAAATAATTGCATGTGACACAATGCAACAATCTCTTCATGACAACAACAGCTTGTGAATCCATGCTCAGTACCATCATTCCTCTGAGAAAAGCGATGAAAACCATAGAGATCCAGTAGACTGCCTAAAGCTTATGCCTGGGTAATGAGCAGAGCTCACTATAAAGGGTCCTGAAGGGACTTTGGGGCTTGATGGAGATGTTTTGTATGTTGACTGTAGTAGAGGGAGTAAAGTGGTGATTATATTTGTAAAAAAAAAAATCAAAATAGACACTTAAAATAGATGCAGTTTATCATATATAAAAAAAATCTCTGAGGACTGGGAAGGTGGCTCAGTGGTAGAGCGTTTGCCTTGCATGCTTGAGGCCCTGGGTTCGATTCCTCAGCACCACATAAGCAGAAAAAAAAAAGCCAGAAGTGGCGCTGTGACTCAGGTGGTAGAGTGCTAGCCTTGAGCTGAAGAGCTGAGGGACAGTGCCCAGGCCAGAGTTCAGGCCCCTCAAACAGACCCTCAAAAAAAAAAATCTCTGAATTTGAATTCAGAAATAGTTGAAAATAAGTAATGTAGCTGAGTGCCACTGGCTCATACCTATAATCCTAGCTACTTAATCTGAGTATCACGATTCAAAGCCAACCCAGGCAGAAAAGTCCCTGTGAGATTCTAATCTCCAATTAACCAGTCAAAATCTGGAAGTGGTGTTATGGCTCAAGTGGTAGAGCACTAGCCTTGAGACAAAGAGGCTTAGGGACAGCACCCAGGCCCTGAGTTCAAGCCCTACAACCAGCCCTCCCCCCCACCCAAAAAACGCAGTGTGTTGTTCAGGAATATAGACTGATAAAATAATTTTTTAAATCATGTGAATGATAAACAAAACACAGGACAGAGGCAAAGGATTCAAATAAGGGGAAGAACCACACCCAGGTGGATCACATTATATTACATCACTGTGATGGGTTCTTGGGTTGATAACAGTCATCATATTTTAGATAAATAGACAAAATAAGGAAGACATTTTATGGGGAACAAGGATGCAGTGTGTCACAATATAATTCTACGAACCAGATTTGCAGTTAAAAAAATTAAAATGGTAGTCACCTCACCCATATAATTCCCATGTCTCAGATGTAGGAAATATGCGAATAAATCCACCTCTCCGATCATTTTCCTCCTTTACCCTCCGTAAAACTTTGATCTAGATGGAGGAAGAGAAAATAAGATGAGAAAGTACTTTGAAAACCTGAAATCTATGTGGACAAGAAAAGAGAGCTGTAACCCTAAACTATAACAAAAGCATGTAGGGAGGAGTTAATTCCACTTAACATGTTCTCTGAGAAGAAATTTCTCCCATATCAAATCTTTCCCTCTTGTATGAATCACTACTAATTTTAACTGAACCTGTGTTAACCCATGAAGGCCTGAAGTGGAGTTATCTTTACCTCCTCCATAGACAGCCCAAGCACAGAACCACCTAACTTCCCCAGCATTTTCTCCCGGCTTGAGCTCACAAGGTTTTTCATTTCTGCATCACTGGCAGAGAGTGGACGGGAACGCTAAGGATAAGAAATAAAAACAAAAAATTTTAATTTTTTATTGTCTTTCCTCATCTTCCTGAGTTCATTCCCTGAACATCAGTATCTTTCCTGACAGGATTAAGCTTGAATCTATAGCCCAAATTCCATAAATTCCACAATTAATTTCTTAGCTAGAAACCTGGGAAAGAGATAAAAGCAGTAAATTCTTAGGCAAAAGAAGAAAAAGAAAACAGAATAATAGAAAAATACTATGAGTAAGAAAGAAATAAGAAAAAAAAGATGATGAGGACAAGGAGAAAAGGGAGGGAAAAAAGGGGAAGAATGATACCTACAGGTTTTCCTAAGCTACTACATACTCTTAGTCTTGGTTTTAAAGTACATCTAGTGTTTCAAGGACAGAGAAAAAGTCTGAAATCAGCTTCATAGAAAAGTAAATGTGTCTTTATTCCAGTAAGTACATTTTTTTCTAGCATGGGGGAAGGAGAATTGGGGGAATTGAGACATGAAATGAAAAACCAAGAAGCAGTCTATTCTGCCACAAATAAAAACAGGCTATGGGATATTTAAGGAATCAAGGGAAACACTGAGATAAGATCATCAGTGACTCAGAGGAGAGCTGTGATGAAAAAGGCCAAGGAAAACTGTGGCTGCTGAACATCAAGAGACTGGAATACAGCTGACTGCCCTGGTACTCCAAGGTGGCCATAGTCATCATGGATCTCACAGATGACCCAGGTTACCACCACTTCCAAAGGATGATAAGGGAGGTCTTTTGAGTATCAAAGCTGATCATATAAACAGAGAACACAGAAAGGTAGCAAAAGAGATCAGATGGTTTTAAGCAAGCTAACACATTATTATTGAAACAGGTGAAGTAACTGATAAAATAAAGCAAACAGATCTGCCAAGAGAAGTAATCCAAGAACTAGTGATACAAATTATCTTCCTAGATTTCTGGAAGAAATTTCAACCTGGAAGAAGCAGCCCCATTGTCAGCAGCTGTTACTGTGTGATGCTGGTATCTCTCCAATATTCCTATGTTGAAGTCTTACCCTCGGTGTGATAGTATTTGAAAATAGAGACTTTGAGAGGCAATAAGAATCAGATGAGGTCTTGAAGTAGGGGCCTTGGTCTAATGGGATTAATGCCAGAAATTGTGCTTGTTTCCACAAGTTCTCCCTGGTATAGGTAAGTAAAAACACATCATGTGGGCATACAACTGTGGCCATATAAATAATAGTCAAGATAAGGCCTCAGAATTAAATTCAGTTTGCTGGCAACTCCATCATGGGCTTCCAGCCTCCAGAACTCCAAAAAAAAAAATTATGTTGTTAAGCAACTTGGTCTATAGTATATTGTTATGATAGCTCAAGATTAACACGTCCACGTATACAAAAAACCATGAATGATTTTATCTTTCAGCACAAGGGAGACCAACTCAATATTAATCTTTAAAGTTAGTAATAAAGTCATAAAAACTAAATTTTCTGATAGGAAACTGGTAAGATATTTATATAAAGGAAAACCATGAAATCAATGATGTAAGTAGCAAAGAAAAGCAGGGACTCTTCATCTGCTCAGCTCATATCTAGATCATTACTTGGCATGGAATAAACCAACAAAATATTAGTTAAACAAATAAAGGAATGAATGTGCTGACAAACAATTCAATCTTGTGTAGAACTAAAATTTGCAGGAAGATGTCAGGAAATATTTTAATTCCCTTCAATCTAGGAATACATTAAACAGCATGTGTTGGAGTAAGAGGGCAAAACTAGGAAAGTTTAAAGATGTAGGAAGGAAACAAATATAAGCATATAATGATTTTATGGTACTTATTTAATTACACATAATATTAAAAAGTCAAAATGCTAAATGGATGGTTTGAGATTTTTCTCACAGTCACCCATTATTTTTTACCCAAATCATACTTATCCTAGTTCACATGTGAGAGCACAGTTCTAATCACAAAGCCACATAAAGCCACTGGCAGTGCATCCTCCAAGGTCAAGAAGCTTTCTTACCTGATGCTATTTAAGGTTATTCGGAAGTCATCTCAAATTATATCATGAGAATAAGAAGTAGCATTTATTTAAATGATATGATAAAAATAAAGATCTTCTTATTAAGCATTTAAGCATAGAAAGAATGCTATTTAAAAGTACTGATGAAGCTGGGCTTTTGTAATCCTAGCTACTTGTGAGGCTGAGATCAAGGTTCAAGGACAGCCCAGGAAAAAAGTTCATGAAACTCCTTCTCAACCCATAGGTGGGTGCAGAGGCATGCACCTGTCATCCCAAGCAACATGAGAGGTTGAAATTGGGATGGTAATTGCTACACCAACCAGGGCAGAAAAGTCCTGGACACTCTACTTCCACAAAGTGAAGTTGGACAGGTGGTACATGCCTGTGTTCCCAGAAATGATGGAAAACTTAAAGTAGGCAGATTGTGGCTCGGGCATGTGCCAAAGGAAGGAAGCAAGACCTATCCTGAAAAAAAAAAAAAAAACATCAAAAAACAGGGCTGGCTGCTGAGTACCAGTTCATGCCTATAATCCTTGGTACTCAGGAGGCTAAGATCTGAAGACTGTTAGTATAAGAACATGTACAAAAACCATTGAACAGAAGGAGGAGTCCCCCATTCCTGTCCTCTTAAATTAAAAAAAAAAAAACCTAAAATCCTTGTATAGAAGAAAGTGACAGTTAATCTCAAATACTGCCCACAAGGACAGTAAGAGAGGAAATGTTGATCATGCCACATGAAATATATTTGTCTTTATTTTGCAGGGTAGCACAGGAAGGCTTCCAAGATCATTATATATGTAAAGTACCAGCTATTAAGGAACTCAAATACAGCCCTATACCCAATGTGAAAGGGTTTTAATATCAAGCTGCTAGCAACAGTATCTGTTTCATAAGATGTCTAACAAAAAAGAAAACTCATTTGTAAACTGTAATAATTCCCTTCTCAAATATTTTGGTCGAAGCCACAGATAAGCCAGGAAACCCTGTTCATCGTTTAAATTCAACTGCCTCTACCACAGCATAACCACAGTCATGAAAACAGGACTCCTAAGTTCCTGCGTCCTCTATTCTCATATTGTATTGCCAAGAAGACCTCTGTGTATTTCTTTTCATTTACTCTATTTTGTGTTATTTAACTATGCACAAAACAGGTACACGAAATATGTACCATGAAAGGCTAAAGCTAAAAGGCTTTATGAATGAAGTCTCCCAATGATCCAGAACTTACCTGCTTGGTGTTTGATGACTGAAACTGTGCAGATACTGGACGCTATAAAAGACAGAAAAATGGAATAAAGCCTCATCTTCTCCTAACATGCCTACATTTTCCATTTCCTCCATCTATGACATAAAAAGGAAATAGCAATCTCCAAGCACAGATCAAATGCAAGAGCCCTACCTACATTTTGTGGTTGCAAACTCAGAGCATTTACTGTTCACATGGCTTTCGTCTACACCATTTGTATTCCAGCATCAACTTCTACTTCAACTTTTACTTCTATTGCCAAGTACTGAAGATCCTGAAGTTAACTACCCCACCTGACAAACTGTTTTATACAGTACATGTAACTAATCTACAGTGCCTTTATACAAGATTTCCAGAGGCTGATTGTGGATGACATCATACCATTACCTACCAGTTAGCAAAACAAGCATTGAATAGATTCTCTATGATTTGCAAAGAATTGCCAAATAAAAGCTGACAGGCAGGCTAAGAAACTAAGAAAAGGGATCCATTCATTCAAGATTAGTATACAGCTACTCTTAGGAGAGAAACTTGGCAGAAATGGTGTTAACACTGCACAGAAACAGTCATAGTCCTTTATGCATAATTCTGCAGCCCTTGCCACAGATGCTAAAGGAAACAATTTGCAAAGGAATGTGATTGCCTAAAGTAAGTTTTCCTATTACATCTCGGTTAATTCTCTACATTATTAAAAATTAAAAGAAAACCCTTTGATCTGTGATGAAACAGTGATTAGGTAAAACTCTGGTGCCTCATTTTATTTCTCCTGCGAGATAATACCACTTACAATACAGTACACTCTGTTCCACATCGCCACACTCCTTAGTTAATTGTTCCGGGGCAGGGGATCACAGATAGGTGGCCCATGGACTGAATCCACCTAAGAGACATGTTATAATTGGACTGCAAAGGTTGCTTTTTTTTAAATTAACTAGTTGCTAATATATAAAGGTAGTATTTCTGATTTCTCTTGACAATGGGAAGATCTTTCCATACCCTTTGTTCACACTCATGTACAGCAGTGATCAGCTAGAGCACATTCACTAAACTGCTGCCCCTTTGCCAGAAGGCCTGCACTTTCTAATTAACCTGTCTCTTCACCCTGGCTGTATGAGACCTACCCCTATTTACCTCATTTCCATCACCTGCCTTATAGGTATCCTCATTTGAAAACCCTGTTCTAATGAAAAGTTATCTAAATAATAATATATGAGCTTTGCAAACAGAAATAGTACTACTCCAAATAAGACTAACAAGGAAAAAAGAGGAGCAGGAAAAGGAATGGCAGAAAAAAGAGGAAAAAGTGGAGAATATTGAAAAAAAGAAGAGTTGAAGTGGAGGTGAGAGAGGGATCAAAAGAAGAAGAGGCAAAAGGGAAAGAGGAGAGAAAAGGAGAAGACATTATTTCTGCCTTCAAAGAGCTTATAGACTAGCAGAAGCGTATTAGACAAAATACAAGTAACATGAATGCAAAATAGCATGCACATCAAGTGGACAACCTTGAGGTAAAAGTAAAGAACACTAAAGAGTGAGAGGAATTAGTAAGAAAAAGTCTCTAAAATTTCTGAGTAGGCAAGGTAATCAAACCAAATGGGCAGAGAGTAGGTAAATCTTTTAAATAAGAAGAAATCTTAAAGGCAAAGAAACAAAAGTGGAAATAAGCAATACTAACACATTCAGGGACTTAAGAGATGATAGAATAAATAGAAGGACTGGCTGGTTTAAATAGAAGAGAATGAAGAGTACACAAAAACCAGAACAATGCTTGATCAAAAGATGCTTCTAAGACCCACAAGTTTCTTTGGGCACATATTTCATGCAACTTCAACCAATAACTCATGACTACTGGAGGGTCTTTTGAAGAGAACTACTTGTAGAAAAGCTGCTATTTCAATGGAGCATCTTTATAAAACCAGTCTGAAGATTGGGAAGAATGTAGTAACGATTAAGAATTAATAGGCACCCTGTCTGTGCTTTGTTTATGAGCTTGTCAATCTGAGGGGAAGGGATATGATTTTTAAAAAGAAAAGAGAAAGGAAAAAGGTAAAGTAGGAGAAAAAAGAAGCTGACAGGAAAGACAAAACAAATGCAGGAGGTAAGTTTGTTGGAAAGCACTGAAGGCATACACTATTAGCTGCAGCTGAACATAACTGCCACGATCTAGACTGATCTCTAAATTCTCCTGCCCCAAGTGACCTCACATCCATAATGCTTCAGCTTCCTCATCTGCATCTGCTACCACTTCCCAGAAAGCCTCTTTTGGTCTCCCTCTTGCTGCATTTGCTTACCTGAGGTTTCTGGAATGGATTTCGCCTGGAAGACTCAAAGGTGGGATAAATTGGCCGGGTTGTTGCCCGCTGGGCAGGATCTTGGCATACAAATCCTGAATAGGGAATGGGCAACGTTAAAACCTGTCATTTTCTAGAAATTAACAGGTTTGGCTGCACCTGTAGATGTGCAAAACTCAGTTTCACAGCATAATATTACAGAAATTCAGTCATAAATATTACAGACAGCCATCCTCAAGAAGATAATGCTGGTTGGGCAGCTGAAATGTAATTCTGACTGAGAAAGAGGTATAGGCTTTTTTTTAAAATGAATCCCAAATAAATGTGCAAATAAGCACGTTGAGACATGTAATTGTTGAAAGATAAAGTTATTTTACAATGACTTTTGCATACTAATTAAAAACCAATGTTGTATTACATTGAAACAACTTTTGAGTGGGGAAGGGAGGGAAAAGCTGGAAGACAGCAAGGGAAGGGATGACACTGTCCAAAAAGAAATGAGTTATATAACGGTAACCCCTCTCTATACATCACCTTTATAATAACAATAAAAATACATGACAAAAAAATATTGTCTCTACTCAGAAAATCTGAAAGGCAGTTGTCCTATTATATGGTGTACTTGTAGAATTGTCAAATGTAGTCTATTAGCAATTTCCAAAATGGGTTTTGTAGATTATCTATGGCTTCAAGAATTGGGCTTCAGATAATTTTACTTCCTTCCTAAAGAAACAGGTTCTCATCTAAGAAAAAGAGATGAGCTAAGTTTTTACAGCACTTGCTGGTACATCAAGTACCAGATCATGTCAAGTATATTTTATTATGTCTTTTTAGGGAACTAAAAAACAACAATAAATCCACATCATACCCATCTGACGTTTCAAAGTTCGGCTTATCTACTTAAAATGGGATTTCTTCCTAGGGCTGCTCTGGCTATAACTACTACAGAAGGGATCTTGTTGAGACCAGTAGAGACTGGCTAGCAGAAATACAGTCAGTCTCCTTTGTAACGAAGCTTCCTCAGTGGGTTTCACTTTTCCAGTTCAGAGAAAAATACACTTTCTACAGATCTTCACTTAATTCTCTGCCTCAGCTCATAATTCCCATGCCCCAGGTCTCAGCCTTAGTTGTGGTTCAGCCTCAGGACAGGATGGAGCCAGAGGGAGTAGAAACATAAACACTTCCCTGAAAATATAATTTTTAGTACAAAGCATTTAGCATGGCTTAGGAACTGCCAGTTGGCAACACCTATGGAACCTAGCAAAAATGGATGCTCTGGTTAAGTTTTATGCGAGTCAGGCTCAGAAAACACTACTTACCTACAACAGTGAACATATCTGAAATCATACTGGCTTTAATCTTTAGGTCCAGAGGTGCATCACTAATAGAACAGAGAAAGAAAGCAACTGATAGTTCTGTAGGTTAACAGAATAACTGCCTAATAGGCTCAATATAACAAAGTTCCCAAATGTCATTGAAAAGCACAGCAAATCCATGGAAAAATAAAAAAGAAATCTAGAGAGAAAGCAAGAAATAAAAGTCTAGTGTTAAACTTATCTTTCCTAAGGTTGGCCCAGTACCAATGCCTTGATTCTCTGATGTGTAATCTTTTTATTATACAAATTTTGTACAAGTCAAGAAGATTGCTTCATTATCACTGTGGGTTTTAGAGGTTCAGACTTACATAACGCTTTGTTATGAGTGTGTCCATCATCCTAATTATGTTTCACTGCTGCAATGGTAGAATCACATGCACATGCAAGACAAGAAACTCTAGCCCCATTTGTATTTTTTATGTCTTCATTTTCTGTTCTAAATAAATATTCCTAGACTGGCAGGTTTGTAAATAGCAGAAAGACAACACAATCGCACTAGATGAAGCAGCAGGACCATGACACTGAAGCAACATGGAAAAGCAAGAAGATCTCTGTGGCAAAAACTGCCATGCTGGCTTTGGTGTTAAGACTATTCTGGCTGCTGGGCCCACAATGCATCACTCGGGGGATCTCTAACACTGTCTAATACACTTCACTGAGCAATATGCAAGAGGCTGACAGAAACGTAAGCATCTATAGTATCTAGGCACTCCACCTTACTATTGAGGTTAAGCCAAATTCCTGCTCCAAAAGTCAAACTTCTATTTGATTCCTTGGCATTTTGCAACTCTCTCTTAACCTTAGAAACTCAGAAGCTGGGTGGTCTTTGGCATAAATCTCTAGTATTTTCTGTTTAGAGGAGCATATAGCTAATAGAAATTCCTAGAGCTACAGATGTAATCAGAATCTTCTCTGGGATTAAAAAATAGGTTTATTTCCTTCCTGTAAACAACAGATAGGTCTAAAAACTTTTTTTAAGATAAAGTTTTTTAGATTTAATCTTTGATGAATACCAAGACATGGAATGGGGTGAAAAGTACACTTCTTGAGGTCCAGCATTCTACCTTTACTGTGTGTGTGTGTGTGTGTGTGTGTGCACATGTGAAATGGATCTGTATAAATTTTCAGTAATTAAGGAAACCTTTTGTATTTCTTTAGTCTTAACAGAACACCTACAAAATGAAAAAAAAATGTTTAAAAAATGTGGGGGTCAAAAGTGAGTGCAAGAATCATCCAGGAAGCCATATAAACAGTAAACATATATTACAAATTAATTGGCTAGAAAGACAATAATCCCTAGTTGCTATATATGTGCTTTGACATGAAACCATAAACCATCTCAATTTCAAAATTGCAGTCATGGGGCTGCGAAGGTGGCTCAGTTGTAGAGTGCTTGCCTTGCATGCATGAGGCCCTGGGTTCAATTCCTCAGCACCACATAAGCAGAAAAAACCAGAAGTAGCGCTATGGCTCAAGTAGTAGAGTGCTAGCCTTGAGCTGAAGAGCTGAGGGACAGCGCCCAGGCCCAGAGTTCAGGCCCCACAACCAACAAAAAAACAAACAAATAAAATTGCAGTCATCTCTAATAACTAGAAAAAAGTCGTCTAGTGTCAACGGAAATGACTCCCCACCACCAGTCCCATACCACAAAAGTTTTTTAGTGCCTTTGCAGATTTGTCCTTTTCTAGTTGATAGAGCTGACTTACCAGGCCAAAGAAGGAGAGAGATTCACTTCTAACAACCATGGCTTCAGAGTAGAATCTATGAGCACGTCGAAGCCATACAGTTCTAGAAACACAACACAATATACAAAACATCATTTTTCATGTCATGCCTGCATAAAAATCTTAAAAATCCAAGCCAATCAACTGCTGCAAGAGGCCCAGAAACTCACTGACTATAAGAAGCGATCCTAGAAACAGAGAGTCTTTCAAGCTCAAAAGAGGTTATCAAGCTCAAGGATAGTTTTAAAAATAACACTATAACCAGGTGTGGGACTACATGCCTATACTACTAGCTATATGGGAGGTGGAGGACAGGAAGATAGCAGTTTGAGATCAATGCAGGAAAAAAGATTAGTGAGACCCCACCATACCAAACAAGGCGGGGGTGGCAGCAGATACACACCTGCAATCCCATCTAGACAGGAGGGCATAGGTATGAGGTTCAAGGTCTAAAGCTAGTCCTAGACAAAAAAGCAAGACCTAATGTAGAAAATAACTAAAAGCAAAAAAAAAAAAATACAAAAAACAAAACAAACTGGGGGAGGTGAAGCTGGGTCAAGTGGTAAAAGTACTACCAATTATGAAGCTCTGAGTTCAACACTGCCACTAAAAATTAGCCACTATGTTGGACACTGGTACCTCACACCTGTAACCCTACTCAGGAGGCTGAGATCTGAGGATCGAGGTTCAAAGCTAGCCCAGGCAGGAAAATCCATGAGATTCTTATCTACAATTAACCACCAGAAAACCGGAAGTGGTGCTGTGGCACAAGTGGTAGAGCACTAGCCTTAGCTGAAGAGCTCAGGGACAGCAACTAGGCCCAGAGTTCAAGCCCTACAACTGACCCTCCTTCTCCCGACCCTGTCAAAAAAATTAGCCACTATAAAATTTACTTTTATCATCTGCTCTAGCGGTATTCTGAGTTCTGCAAAGATAGTAAGCTGACTTAAGAACAGAAAACATAATTGTTCTGCTCTTATAGGTTAAGGAAAAAATGCTGTCCAGGAATGAAGCAACAACATCTTAATAGTGCTGTTTCAGGCTGGCTCTGGATGCCCTCCTACACTACTCCCTGCCACACTCTGAAAACAGAAAAATCTATAGAAGACATCTCCCTAGGAACCTTCTGTTGCATTTTCTTTTCTTTTCTTTTTTTTTCTGGGTTAGGTTGTGGGGCCTGAACTCTGGGCCTGGGTGCTGTCCCTCAGCTCTTCAGCTCAAGGCTAGCACTCTACCACTTGAGCCACAGCGCCACTTCCAGCTTTTTTTTTCTGCTTATGTGGTGCTGAGGAATCGAACCAGGGCCTCAGGCATGCAAGGCAAGCGTTCTACCACTGAGCCACCTTCCTAGCCCCTTCTTTTTTTTACTTACATTTTTTATTTGAAAAATGTATTTAAAAGTCTTAACAATTTTTCAATATAAATTATGACTCTCAAACATATTCCTATCACTTTATTGTTAAAGCGATAGAGCATACATGTAAGAGAAGGTAGCTCAAGGCAAGAGAGCACCAAAGAGAAGACTGTGTTCAAAGAATAGGTATTAGGATGAGGCTGGAGGTCTGGAGTCCCCCACCTTTCTACCCTATCCTGTTACCCCCTTTAGATCTCTAGTCTAGTACACTCCTTAGGGCGGCAAGGTAGGCTGCTTTTAGAGCACCTAGATTAATGAAACAGAGTAAATTGGTAACAGAGTAAACTGATGACCAGTCTTCGACCCTAAAAACTGCAGGAAGTACACTGGAACCGGAAACATGGTACCTCAGCCACTGTAGGTGGGGACAGACTGGATAGATGGTTGAATCAGCAAAATGACTATCAGTTCCTACAATACTGACCCCACTACCATAAAACAGGCTTCCTATACCAGAGCTAATGATGCCAGATTTCTTGTCTTAGAGCAGGCAGGAACTCTTCTGTCTTATTTTGTCTAATTACCCTTAAAGAAAGGGCCAGAACTAAAAAGAAAAACAAAAACAAAAAAAAACACCTGAGAAAACTGAAAATGCTTAAAGACCCTCCTCTCCTACATTGCTCTCCCATCTATCTAAAGCACTGTCTAGTCAGGTGAGAGTGGGACATGGTCTTCAGACAAAACTCCCTGAGTCTTATTTGTGTCTGGTTCTAGGACTAGGGAACAGCAATAGAACTTGGGGAAGACAACTAAGGTATGCCTAATGCTTTTACCTCTCCTTTCTCCAATGCCAACACACCCTAGTCATGTCTCCACACTGCCCCTCTTCTACTGAGCAAGAAAAGAAGCATAGCTCATGTCCACCAGAGGAACTTGAACTCCTGCAAGCATAAGCAACACACTGAATAAAGATTGTGAGCAGCTCTTTTGAGCATATTCTATAAGGGGGCCTGGGTCATCCACGGGTCAAGCTACACATGAATGAAATCACTTAAGAGAAACATCTTTAGAGCTATGTCTCTCAACTGTAAGTGATTTTTATCTTAGGAGGCATTTGGCAATTTCTGGAGATATTTTTGGTTGTCTTAACTGAGATGGGCCAGGGATGCCACTAAATAGCTTATAAAATACAGCTCTTCATTACAAGAATGTCTGTATGGAGGTCTTGTTCTAGGACCTCCCGGTGTTTGCATGCTATGAGAAGATCTTATGATCATTACTCTCTGATGACTGTTGCCCACCTACTCATCTCACCATCCCTAAGGATGAAGTCCACTTTAAGACCATGCCTAATTTTTCTGCATTCTGTGGCTTTCTATCCACCCCCTCTTCCTCCTCTCATCTGGGCCAGCGGGGAGGTTAGCAGAGGATATGCTAGGTCCTTCCAAGACTTAAATGGAATGTCATCTGGTTAAGAGCCACCTCATACCTCTTATTTAATGAAGTTCCTAATAGGGAGGAGGTTGAGGACAGAGGTAGTAGCAGGATAGGGCTAATTGGAAGAACTCAAATTAAAACTTTTTTTAAAAAAAGGGAACATTGTTGGGATGCTAATAATGCTAATACAGGGTTAGAGGCCTAACTAGAGAAAAACCCTGATACTGGGAGAGTGAAACCGAGGAGCTTAAGATCTGAAATCTGAAGAGAAAGTGTGGACTAGGCAATGGTCCCCCTTCCAGCCCCCTGATATCTGCTTTAGCTCATTCCAGAAGGAAAGAAGTATACAGGGAAGTAGGGGGCTTCTCAGCAAAGCTGACTTCTGCTTTGGTAATCTCACCTACCTGCCCCATTTAAGGAACTCCAGATAAGAAGTTTAAAATAGTTGGTACCCAGACCATCATTCAGGAGAGGGGAATTCATTCCAGGTTTCCACAGAATTCCTAGCTCAGATCTAGGGTTTCCATTGCATTTTCTTAACCTTAAGATCCTGCTTTTTCAACCAAGGTCAGAAGACATTAAAGGGTAAAATATATTTATTCTTTCCCTTCTCCCATGGTTTCAATTTCCCTTTGAAGACAGAAAGTCAAACATGTGGCCTATAGACAAGAAGTCAGAAGAAAAGAGAAGCCAGTGGTAGCAGATGACAAGTCGTCTTGAACCATTAGAATCATTTAAGGAAGTAGCAAGCCAAAGATCAAATTTCTCTGGCTTCTGGATTCTTCTCTGATTTTCGTCCTCTACCTCCCCAACTATGGCAAGGAGCAAAGCAACACTCATGAGCATCTCCTTGTTCAAGGTCTGCTTTTACTTAACATGTTCAGGGATGAGATGTTAAACTTTTTAAGCCCTTCGTATTATTATTAGAGATCCACTTGACTGCAATCACAATATTCACAGTCTTTAGTATGTATATATATCAAGCACCAGAACTTCAGGAGTCCACTCATTCCCAACATCTCACCCTGTGTCATCACATAAACTGCCTTCACCTTTTCTCCAAGGGGGAAGACAAAACAAAACGCTAGCTTCCTTACTGTCTGAACAGAGCTTATATGCTCAAAACAGAAGCAGGATTTCTGATTTCTGAAACAAATATTACTGGTTCAAGATAAATTTGTTTTCATTTCTTAAGCCTCTCAAAAATATGCAGATTTGTGGTTGTAAAATAATAGCCCCAATGGCCATATTTAGAACATAGGGAGTCCTATTTAGAATACCAAGAGTCCTAGAATGGTAATCTAAACCTGGTAGTCACCTGACTGTACAATGTGATTTCCTTAGCATCCTTTGCTTTGTCTTATACACACTATTAATTATATTTGTCAATTGTCAATATTTGGTTTTCCTTAAACTTATCTTATTTAAGTCAAAGAAACATGTATATTCCTATTTATATATTTATTTATGTTGGTTGTGGCTTGAACTCAAGGCCCAAGCACTGTCCCTGAGCTCTTTCCCTCAAGGCTAGGGCTCTACCACTTTGAGCTACAGCACCACTTCTTGTTTTCTGGTGGTTAATTGAAGATAGTCTCCTGGACCTTCCTGCTTAGGCTGGCTTCAAACTGTAATCCTTAGATCTCAGCCTCCAGAGTAGGATTACAAAAATGAGCCACCAGCACCCAGCTTTAATGTTTATTTTTAAAGGGGAGGGACAGGGTGTCATTTCTGTAGGCCAAGCTGGCACAGCACTAATGATCCTCCAATGTCTTTCTCTTGAGTACTGGATTATATACAGTATAAAAGTTTCCATGAATGTATTTGTGTCCCTAATAATTATACAAGATTCCATTCATTTTGCAAAATTAATTATGAGAAAAATTATGAGAGTATGAGATGGCATTCATTTCATGTAATTATATAAAATTTAAATATTATTCATATTTTAAAACGTGAGGAATAGCGGCCAGGAATGTGGCTTAGTGGTACAGTGCTTGCCTAGTATGCATGAAGCCCTGGGCTCAATTCCTCAGTATCACATACATAGACAAAGCCAGATGTGGTGCTGTGGCTTAAGTGACAGAGTGGTAATCTTGAGCAAGAGGCTCAGGAACAATGCCCAGGCCCTGAGTTCAAGCCCTAGGACTGGCCAAAAAAAAGAAAAGGAAAGGAAAAAAAAGAATCAGCTCCTTCAACTGTCTTTTTTTGGGTAATAAATTCACAACTTTTATATACAATGCAATCTTCAGAATATCTTTTTTTTTTTTTTGTCA